TTGAGTTAAAGTGTAAAAGACTAGGCATTGTAAAGCTTCTAGATTACAAAGCCTGGGCTAAAAAGTAAAAGACAATTGTTACAATTGTAAAAGTCTATTGTTACAATTCCACTGCTACCCCCAGAATCTGTAATCTTTGTAAGTTGTTAGGACAATGTGGGAACTGCCCAGTAAATATCTCCATTGATTCCCTGGTTGTTTAATAGCTAAGGGCTCTAGGTAGCATGGCACGTAAGCATCTAGGCTCCAAAACCAATCAGTTTAAATTTGTACCCCACTTAGAAATGACCAATCACCCTTGCCCAGATTGTTCCCGCCAATGTATGTACTAATCCTGTCTCAGAGTTGTCGTTCAATTTTCCCGTGCCTCATGATGATTTGTTCTGATGTATGCAAAGCCCACCACCCTCTCCAAAAAGTGTACTTAAGCTCCACTTGACCTCTGCTCTGGGCTCTGGGCTGCTCTATCTTCCTGAGTGAGCCTGGCACCTCAGCATGCTGAATTAATAAATCCCCTTTTGCCAATTGCATGAAGTAAGTTCCTTGTGTGGTCTCTTTCTCTGACGCTCCGCCAGACCCCTTACAACATGGTATCCATTAATATGTGCAAAATTTTTTGAATACTTTTTTTTAGTTTTAGGTGGATACAATATCTTTATTTTATCTTTATGTGGTGCTGAGGATTGAACCCAGTGCCTCACATGTGCTAGGCGAGCGCTCTACCACTTGAGCCACAACCCCAGCCCCTGTGAAAATTTTTAAATAAAGAAAAAGTAAAATATATTTACCAAAAGCTGGGTCAGAAGCAAACAAACCTTAGAATTATGTTTAGGGACTGAGAAAATCCTAAATCTCTACCTTGGACACTCTGCATGTGAAGGTTTCTCCAAATATACACTATCAGTGAAACCAGAGTTTTGAGATGAAACTAGATTCCCCAATTCACCAATTTCCTTCTGAGTTCTTGTCTCACAAATTTGAAGAATAAAATCAATGGACAATAATGGAAAGGAGAGTAAATGGAGCAGCATTTATTAAAGTGAGGAGAAAGAGAACTCCCAAGATGTGGGAGAGGGCCAGACAGCAGAAAAACCTACTTTTGTGCGCTAGCTTAGGGGCTTTATGAGTCTGGGGTATTAGCATTGATCAAAATCTGCGTTAAACAGGTTTTGAAAAAGTATTGGCTGTGTCATTTATCCTGAGTCTTCATCCTTCCTGTAATTCCATTTTGGATTCACTCCTCCAACCTTCAGTCCATCCAAGTGGCCATCCCCTCTCACCATCCCCAACACAAAGGAGTTGGCTAAAGTGTCCCCACAGCTGAGCCTCAGGGTCTTTTATATTTGAAATAGGCCTTGACCTTGCCCATTATTATTTCTACAGGTTAGTCTACAGGTGTAGTCTCAGCCTTTGAATAAGACCTTGATTTTTTGGTGCATTGCCTGACTATTATCTATTCTTATTCACCAGCATGTCCTGTGGTGGAGAACTTCTGGGAAGGACCTTGTTGGTCCTGCCAATTCCTTATGGTTGTAGGATGCACTGAAATCAAGATGATGAAATTACTATTGCCAATGAGTTCAGCATGCATACACAATCTAACCCCCCAAAACAACAACAACAACAACAAAACCCACAATCGTTTGAGTAAGAACTCTAATAGAAGATCTGGGAAGTATGGTTGCCAAGGTAGGTCATTGAAGAGTCAGGTTTAGAGCAGAAAAATATTGGCTTTCTTTCTTGTGATTCATACACTATCCAGAAGCTTCTGGCTTACTGGAATTTTAAATGTAACTCAAAATCATTTGGCAAAAACTGTGAAACAGCACAATTTTCACTAACAAGTCCTTGCACATTCTCAATAGCAGATGGGTAATTTTGGCTATCTACCCACTATGATTTCAAGCTACAGAGAGCCAGATTCTATAATTAGATCTATGTGGTTGGCCTGCAAAGTGCCAAGTTAGGAATGACACTAATTCTGTCCTGCACACTTGTGTTTGGGGCCACCGGACTGGGAAACTTCTTTTCTACTTTTCTCCCCAGCTTTCTGTTCAGTGAGGGCATGAAGCCTGAAGCTGTGTTCTCACACAGGAGCTCCACAGAAAGAATGCCGCAGTCTGGCTGGGCACAAAATCCCGAGCCACTCACACCTTGTAGATTCAAACAGCAATTCTTTATTCTCCAACTGTCACCGGCACTCTACACAACATGTTCTGGGCAAAATCCACGCTTACACTCGGCTCTGAATCCCAAATACTCTCTGAATCCCTCGAGAACTCAACGGGAACTCAAGGCGCGAGTGGGTGCTTGAGGCAGCAGGATATGCCCTATTCCCAGCAGGGTCCACCTTAAACCTGGAACCGCCCTAAACCCAAGGAGCAGAATACTCCCTAAAACCTGATCCACCCTAAACCCGGATCCGCCCTGGTCCTTGAGCAAGGTCACCTTACTCAAGCATACATGCAATGTCACTGCAAATAACCTGGGTCATGCCATGCGTCATTCCTACTTGGCAATGGCTCTCAGCATCTCCCCCCTTCTGATTAAACAACAAGCAATGTGGCTTAAGGACCGTGCCTGGTAGGTTGTCCAATTCAACATATGGTTCTTACCCGTTATCGGATGAGCTGACCTCAAGGCGTCAGCCTCCTGTCTTAGGTTGATACCACTGCAATTGGATCATACCCGTCACTGACTACCGGTCCAGCATACAGCCATACTTGTGGATAGGCCTATGCACCAGTGGGGGGGGGGGTGTGAAGTTCTTTGCCTCACCTCTGTTGGCCCCAAAATTTGGCCTTGGTGCCAGTGGGGGGGTGAGGTTCTTTGCCTCACCTCTGTAAAAGACCAACAGTGCTGTGTTTGAGATGCTCCAGTCTAATGGGGAAACCTGTAGGAGGAAACCAGGTTCCTTAGCAACCTTCCCCACTTTAACAGGGTGACCTCCACCTACTTCCTAGCCTTTGTAAGCCTGAAAGTTCCAGTTTTCATATGAGAAAGCCAGAAAGAGACTGGGGTAAAATGAGGCTGTTGAAGAGAAAGGAGGAGGGAAAGAGGGAAAGAAGGGAAGGAAAGACAGGAGTTCTGGAAAGAAGAATAAAAGAAAGGAAGCAAGGAAGAAAAGAAGAAAATTTCCAGTGTATGTGTTTCAATGCTTGTTGTATATGTTTATTAACACACTGGACAGGAGAAAAATATAATAAAAGCAAATGAAAATTAGTAACAGAAATATATACATGAGAAGGAGCATTGATTCAACCAGCCACCATCCAATGCATTAGGGATTAACTGGATGGCAACTGTAGGCACGTAGGGTGTGGCTGCAGGAGGCAGGTCCCTGGGGGTGTGCTTTGGGGATTTATATTTTGCCCCTGGGGAGTTGAGCTTAGTCTCTCTCTGCTTCCTAGTGTGATGTCTGGAGCTGCTTCCCTCTGCCACATTCCTCTGCCATGATGTTCATCCTCACCTAGAGCACTGAAGAGTGGAGCTGGCCATCTATGAACTGACACCTCTGAAACTGTGAGACAGAAATAAACTTTTCCTCCTCTAAGTTGTTATCAGATTTTTTAGTCACAGCCACACACACACAAAAAAGCTAAAACACAATTTATTCTTTGAATATTAAGGCACGAGTCTCCTTCCTGTATGCATGCATTCGAAGGACTGTGTGAGCCCTACCTGAAAAAAATGATTTGACAGGCTCACTGGACAACTAAGACATAAATTTAGATATTCAACTCTGGAGTGAAGAAGTTGTGATCAAAGAACTAATGGCAAGCACTGAAAACTTTTAAATAGAGAATTAAAATCAAACAGTTGTAGGAATTAAGACTTTGGAAGTCAATTGAAAAGCCTTGACAAAATCAAAATAACTAATAAGTACTGCCTAAAAATTTCACATAAAGCTTAAAAACATGAAAAATAATTGAAAAAAATTTGCTTAATGTCAACTTTTTTTTTCAATTCTATTCTGACTTTTCATTTTACTAAAATTCTATTTTTTTTTTTTTGGTACCAGGGATTGAACTCAGGGGTGCTTAGCCACTGAGCCACATCCCCAGGCCTTTTTATGTTTTATTTTGAGATGGGGTCTGTAAGGAGCAACTGCCATAGACATTCTGGGACATGTGGGGACTCACTAAGTTGCTAACCATAGGAACAGCAGCCATTGAACTGCTTAGTCATGTCTGCTTGCAATTGATAAAGAGCTGTAAGGGGCATTAGCCATATGCATGCTTAGCAATGACTGGTTACAGTTGATAGGGGCATAGCTCCATGGACATGCACAAACAATATGCTCAGCTGCAATTATATTATCTCACTGGACTAACCAATGGAAACTGACTTTCACTGGATGTGACCAATCACCAACTTGGAACCCTATTTAAATTACTGGTCCTGCCACATTGAAGAGTTTTTGCTCCAAGGACATTGTTGAGACTGGCTGCCTTGCTATCTATCCCTAGACTGACTCCATCATTCCCTGACATCCAGCCTTCAGTTGGAGAGAACCACCAGACAAGGACAATGTCTGTTCTTTGGCTAAGAGAAGTCTCGTGGCATCAGAGGTATTTTGGGGCTTGTGGTTGCCCTAGGATTGTGTGATATGCTTATAGTGTTTAATTAGTTTGCATTGAATGCTAGTTGGAGTGCTCCTGCACACCCAACACTTTTTGCATTAATTGTTTGTGTTTTATGATTGGTGTGGTTGAATATATGCTTGCATTAAAGACAATCTGATTCCAAGTACAGTAATTATTAATAATGCTGCTCATTATGGGGTCTCCCTAAATTGCTTACGGATTTGCTAATTGCTGAGGCTGGCTTTGAACTTTAGATCCTCCTACCCTAGCCTCCTGAGCGGTTGGGATTACAGGCGTAAACTACATGCTAGGCTAATTTCGATGTATTCTTTTTACATTTAAAACATACCCATTTTATCAAACTACTTTATACATCTACATAGCAATTCAACCATTGGTATATTTGCAGAGAGAAATATAGAATAATATTTTTAATGATAGTGATGGTTGTTTCTTGCTGAAGGACTTTGAAATGACTTCCCTCTTTGTGTTTCTGTATTGCTTATTTTTTAAACCACATAAGCATTTATTGAAAAAGTCATTTAATAAAAAGGAAAATAAAACACAGGGCTGGATTGCTAAACCAATAGCATATCAACAAACAAAAGTGAGGAAGACTGTTTAAATTCCATCATGGAACTGGATGAGGCAATAATTATTTGGTCTATATACCTACCATGTGTATAAGAAAGTAAAGAAACTCTATTTCTTTAAAACTATTTTATAGAGTTTTTCAAACTCTATAAAAGTTGGAAGAGTTTCTCCTCATCCAAATTGGTGAAAATTTGCTTTATTACTGTTATATTTAATAAGTAACCAAAGATAGCCATTAATCAACATTTCAAATTTACATCTGTTTTCAACCCTCAGTCAAAATATCAAATGTGTTGCAGAGCCTTGAAACACCTTATTTTTCTTTAAAATGGTATTGTGCATTCTATCAAGCAAATGTTAGCTTACTTCCCATCCATCTGTCAAAAACCTCACTCTAGATCATTAAAGATCAGTGGCCTTCAATCTCTACACTGCACATTTCCGCCAACTTGAACAGAGAGATTTTGGTCTATGTGTTGTTAGTCATTCATTTGCTAAATAATTTCTGTGGAGTCATTTAACTTTGGGAAACTCAGAAAAATTCAGTTCAGGGCACAATTATGTCCAATTTCATTAAATTACTTTTGGCAAATGGTGCTGGCTTTGTACAATAGTTTTCAAACATCTAATAAGTAATTGCTTATAATTGTGCCATTGTCTGATAGTGAAATGAAAGAACAGACACTGCGGTAGTGCTGCAACTCCCCCCATTTGTGTGCTACCGCAAAACTCTCTGGCCCAGCAATTCCTCCTGACTGTCATGCTGTGGAAATTGCAGGGTGTGCAGCAATGAAGGCTTTTAACTTATGAAGAAGGACCAAGAGGAAAAAAAGGAATCGAATTACACAAATGAGTCCTGGCAGCCAAATTGTATTTCTCTTCTTAGCTGACAGGACCCTGCCTAGCCAATATGGAAGGGCCTACCACATTGTTTGGAACCTTAATTACTTTACAGCTTTAATTTCAATCCCTTAAATTGTGACACTACAAGAAAATTCACTCAGCACTAGAAGAAATTGCTGGGCCTCAAGGTTACTGTGTCTTCCTGATCCTTCTCAGGAAAAAGAAGTGAAAAAAAAATTATAGTCAAGCTGCTACTTTAAATTATGTATTAGGTCATTAGTGTGTTAATTCACTGATCATTTATTGAGTATCTACTATGTGTTAGCCACTGATCTAGTCACTAGGGATACCACAATAGAGACCACAGACAAGTGATATTGTGATATAATAAGGAACATACTTGCCCTTTGACCTTGGTTCACGACCCTTAGCTCATAAAATTATTGGAGTGACTGAAATGATGAGTGTTTTTTGTATGTTAATGAGATGACTGGTGTCTGAGAGACCCTAGAGAGCTTCAGTATGGGTGCTGATCACAGGAAACACTAAGGCAGGATTAGAGAGCCAGGACTTTCAGCCCCATCCTCCAGACTCTGAGAAGGGAGAAGGGCTGAAGATCCAGTGGATTAACAATGCCTACACAATGAAGCCTTCATAAAACCCCAAAGGACAGGGTTTGGTGAGCTTCTGGTTGCTGAATACCCAGAGGGGTCAAAAGAGTGGCACTTCTAAGGAAGATATGGAAACTTTGTACCCCTTCCCCACACCTTGCCTTATACAGCTCTTCATCTATGTCTTTTATGAATATAATCAACTAGTAAGTGCTTCCCTGAGTTAAATGTGCCATCCTCACTAATTAATCAAAACCAAAGAAGGGGTAGGAAGAACCCCAATTTACAGTCAGTCATTAGAAATACAGATAATACCCTGTGATTGGCATCTAAAGTGGGAACCACCCTTGTGGGACTGAGCTCTTAACTCGTGTGACCTGATGCTCTCTCAAGATATATGGTGTCTGAGTTGAATTCTATTATAGGACACACAGCTAGTGTTGCATGGAGAATTTCTTGGTATATGAGGAAAATTCCCCCATACATTTTGGACACACAAAGTCATTTATTGCAATCTCTTTGAAAACATTTCCTAGGGCTGGGATGTGGCTCAGTGTCAGAGTTCTTGCCTAACATGCAGGAGGCCCTGGGTTCAACCCCCAGTGCTGAAAAAACTTTTCCTAATTTATGCTGAATATTATTACACAACTGTACTCTCCCAATTCAAAGAAAGCTTTCTTCCAAATCATCATGGTTCTTCACTTAATCCTTGTCTGCTGCTTTATTAAAGAAGTACTCTTTGACTCAGTTATCCCACTCCTCAGTATATACCCAAAGGGCTTAAAATCAGCATACTATAGTGACACAGCCACATCAATGTTTAGAGCAGCACAATTCACAATAGCTAAACTATGGAACCAACCTAGGTGCCCTTCAACAGATGAATGGATAAAGAAAATGTGGTGCATATACACAATGGAATATATTACTCAGCCATAAAGAAGAATGAAATTATGAAATTTGTAGGTAAATGGATGGAACTGGAGACCATCATGCTCAGTGAAATAAGTCAATTCTAAAAAACCCAAATCTAAATGTTTTTTTTTCTGATATGCAGATACTTACTCACGATAAGCGGGTATAGATGTTCACTGGATTAGACAAAGGGAAGGGAGCAGGGACAGGAATAGGAAAGACAGTAGAATTAATTGGACATAACTTTCCTATGTTCACATATGAATACATGGCTGGTGAAATTACACATCATGAACAACCACAAGAATGGGCAGTTAGGACTGGGGTTGTGGCTCAGTGGTAGGGCTCTTACCTAGCACATGCAGGGCCCTGGGTTGGATCCTCAGCACCACGTAAAAAAATGAATGAATGGAATAAATGTATTGTGTCCAACTACAACTAAAAAATATTTTTAAAAAAGAATGGGCAGTTATACTTTATGTATGTATAATATGTCAAAATACACTCTACTGTCATGTATATCTAAAAAGAACAATTAAAAAAAAAACTATTCTGTCCAATATCCCCTACTATATAACAATCACTTTGACATTAGGACTTTGTTTTATTCAACTTGGCATCAATTCTAGATTGAATTGTGTGTCCCTTAAAAAAATGTTTAAGTCCTAACCCACATTTCTTCAGAATGCTACTTTATTTGGAAACAGTCTATATAAATGTAATCAAGTTAAAATGAGGTCATTAGATAGGTAAGCCCTAATCCATTATCACTAGTGAATTTATACAAAAAAAATTTGGTCAAAAAGGTAGATATGGGCTGGGGATGTGGCTCAAGCGGTAGCGCACTCGCCTGGCATGCGTGCAGCCCTGGTTCGATCCTTAGCACCACATACCAACAAAGATGTTGAGTCCGCCGAAAACTAAAAAATAAATATTAAAAATTCTCTTCTCTCTCTCTCTCTCTCTCTCTCTCTCTTTGAAAAAAAGGTAGATATGCACAAGAGAAGGCCACCTGAAGATTTACAAGCCAAGGAATGACAAAGATTGCTGACAAACTATCACAAGCCAAGAAGAAAAGAGGAGTCCTCCCCTGGTACCTTGTCTGGGAGCATGGCCCTATCAATGTCTTGATTATGGACTTCTGGCCTCCAAAGTTATGAAATAATGAATTTCTGTTATTCTAAGTCACCAAGTTTGTGGTACTTTTTCATAGGAGCCCCATCAAACCCATATAGTGTCACTTTAAGAGCTTAAGAATGAACAATGAATATTTGATGAATAAGTAAAACACTGTAAATAAGTAATTTCATGTCCATTTGACAAATTTAAAACTCAGGCATAAATATATTTGAGCTCTCTATGTGACAAGGATGTGGATTTGGTTGACTATCAAAGCATAGATAGTTCTCTAACAAAGAAATAAGGTTTTGTGATAGTGTTCCTTTTCTTTAATAAACATCATCCATTTAGCTTTCTATAGTTTAGCAGGGGAAATGTAAGACCTTTACCTTTCTCCTAGAGAAGAAATGTAAATCAAAGGGCAGAGCTGATTACTAGGGGATGACCTCACAAGTGAGACCACAAAGGGAATCAAGTCTCACAAGGTGTCTGAAAATGAAATATTTGGAACTTTCTTTGTAGGCTGGAAAAGAAGTTGAATTCCTTTGGGTTGCCACTGGGGCAAAGTCCATCCTGCAATCTTTGCAATATACATTATGAGTAACCTTGAACATCTACCCAGTATGAAGTGACTTGAGACTTAGAGGTAGCTCTGCTCTGCAATTGAGTCTGTCTTTTTCAAAGGAAGGTCAATAATTCATTTGCCAACACATAGGACTAGTTAGATCTCAGTTAGCATCCAAAATAGCAATCAAAGACAAGCCCAAACTAAAGTCAGAAAGTCAATGAAATGTAGTATTGAAAAATCATCAGCTTTGGAGTCAGACCTGAGTTTGAATTTGACCTCCCCAAGTTACTAGCTGTGTGATTTCAGGCATGCCAGTAAATTTTTCTCAGTCTCTGTTTCCTTATGAATAGTGAAAATTGTTATCAGGGAATACCATAGAGTTTGAACAGAAATGCTGAAGAATCCTGAGACAATTTACTTTGAAAAATTCTTATCCACAATTTTTTCAGGGCCACCTTAAGTAACTCTTTGAATTTTTGTTTTATAATCATCAGGTAATGCTTATTAACTGCTATAAATACACAATACTAAAATTTCATTGGCTTAATATAATTGTTCTTTTTTATTTACTTCCTAGCTGAATGTGTTTCAGGGGACTCTCAGGGCAGCTCTCCTCTAAATGATGATTCCTAATGTCTTGTGATGATGCTATTTTAAGTATTGGCTTCTGAGACCCCAGGGCAGGAAAAGGGAAAATTGTGGATGATCATAAGATCATTTTATATGGCTAGTTCTAGAAGAAGTATATTTCAATTCTGCATACACCCCATTGGCCAGACCCAGTTAGATAGCCCAAATTAACAGCAAGAGAGGCTGGAAAGGGCTGGGATTGTGGCTCAGAGGCAGAGCACTGACCTACCATGCATGAGGCACTGGGTTCAATCCTCAACACCACACAAAAAGTAAAATAAAGATATTGTGTCCACCTATAACTAAAATATATATATATTTTTTAAAAAAGAGAGACTGGAAAATGTTTAACAGCAAGAGGAAATGGGTGGATAATCATCTAAGTCCTTCCTGCAACAGTCTTATTTCATATGAAGGGAGTCGGGGCTTAGAGTTTATCAGTTTTAATTCTAACTGAACAATTGTATATAGTTTCAAAAGATTTTTACAATTTCATATAACTAATTGCCTAGGAAGAATCTGTCTTTCAACTCACCTTAGAGATAGTTGTTTTCTTGTTGATAGGGGGATGAATTCTTTAAAATGGTGGCCAAATTCTCAGTGACAAAGTAGAATGCTTTTCATAGGCTATATAGTGGCATAGAACCCAGGCTCACATGTGAAACAAGGACAGCAAGGAACCCATACTCAAAAGTATGTCAAAAATGAATACTTGGCCTCCAGGATGAGCAGTAGAAAAGGGAAGTATAGTACATATGATAAAATCATCATATGGTTGAATTGGAAGGATCTTTAGAAACTGCAAATGACATGTGGCATAGGAAATATCTGATGATATTTCACAGGAAGTATCACTGTGGACACTTTTCTGCATTTCCAGATTGCACCTTAATCAAGAAAAATGTTACTTTTACTACTCAAAGGAGCTAAAAACATTTCTTCTTTCATCATAATGTAGCAGAAATTCTAGAGAGAAGAATTAGCATATGGCAAGATTGAGGGTACAGATTGCTCATATTACAGTGAGAGAAAGGAAGTGCTACAAACACGAGAGACGCCATGTAATTTACTTCCAGTATTATGATGGAATGAGGGAATCCTCTTAACAAAAAATCCAGTGAAAAATACTCTATCTAAAGTGAAATTTGAAAATAATCTTAAATAACATTTAAGATTACTTTGCAAAAAGTAGCATAGGCTTTGAGGGGGAAAAACATCCCAGTAGATATGCATAAAAGTTAATTCATGAAATATGTGTTTGAGGAATGATGAAGGTGCTGTCTGTCCAAGGGGGAGCAAAAGTAAGGGAAGTAAAGTAAAAGAATACAAGTAGAGTTTATTACTGAAGTGCCTAAGAAGTGATATTTTTTAAATTTATACATATATTGGCTATGGGATTTGATCCCCCTCAAAAACTTACACACTGTTCAAGTTATATAGATTCCATGCCCTTTTCACCCAAGTTCCACAGGAGTATTAAAAGCATGCTTCAGCTTCAAGGTCAACTTTATTAGCCTGGGTGGAAAGAATTTTGAATAAACAAAGCCAGTGAGCAAATCTTCCACACAACATCAGTCAAATCCTACCAACTGTCAAGAAAGACTGATTAACCTGTTTTCCCTATTTTCACTAGAACCAAGAGTGGAACTATTCATCTATCATAAGAAAACCTATTCTAACAATATGGCCAGCCAGATAATGAATGGTTTACAATTGACTGGCTGGTCTTTTTTAAAGAGATCATGCCTAAAAATGTGTATGCATATGCACTTTGACCAAGAGATCATACTCCTAGGAAAGACATGTTGGCAAAATATGAAAAGCTCTGCACAAGTCTATTCATTTAGCATTATTTAGAATATCAAGACTTGGGCATAATCCAAATATCCATAAATAAGGTATTGCTTGAATAAATTATATTATATTCATATAAAATGAAAAGTGTGGATAGAATGCCACTATTTAGCTAAGAAAGGGGGTGTGCATTTTATCAAAAAATGCTGTCAAAGACCATTAAGGTTCCGTCCAAAAAAACTCAGGCACCATCATGATTAATTGGCCATCAACTTGACTGGGTTGAGAGACCTAGAAAGTAAAAATCACACTTTTGGGTGTGTCTGTGAGGGTATTTCCAGAGACCATTGGTATGTGGGTCAGTGATCTGAGTTTGGGCCCACCCTGAATGTGAGTGGCACCATTCAAAAAGTTGGGGGCTGGATTGGGACAAAAAAACAGAAAGATGAAGCCCACCTGATCATAGCTGTATTCTTCTTGAGCAGCTCCAATTGTTTTGCTGCTGCCATTGCCCATGGACATCAGACTCCAGCTCCTTCAGCTTTTGAATTTGAACTCCCAACAGCATCTCTCCAGGAAGCTGCAGGCCTTCAGCGTTGGACTGGGACTATGTCATTGGCTTCTCTTTTTCTAAAGTTTCCAGTTTCTTGGACTGAACAGCTCTTGGTTTCTCTGGCTCTCCAGCTTTCAGATGGCTATTGTAGGACAATAGCCTACTGTAGGACAATGCTGTAAAATTTATTAAAATTTATTAAAACCCGGCTTCAAAATGAGTAAGTCAATCTAATAAATTCTCTTTTATAATTTTGTATGTGTATAAATGTGTATGTATGTGTATAATTACTTCTGTTCCTCTAGAGAACCCTGACTAATATAGACACCAAATTAAAGAGGCATCTACTGACAAAGATAAAAAAAAATTGGGGAATCAATTAGAATAATTTTAATGGATTAAAACACATGAAAAACACATGAGACATGAGTTCATACTGGTATTTTAGAAATGGTCATTGTTCACCTTTGGAAGATACTAGGGAACTAATTCATATGCATAGTTTATATTATAACAATGAAAGCATAAATCAAAAATTTAAAAAAAGGTTTATATCAGGAGGAAAGGAATAGGATGTAGCATATACAAATATGAAATATATTTCTTTGAATATACCTTGATTTATAGATTTTACTTTTTTATAATTTTTACAAGTTATATATAGATCTTTAAAATTTGAAAGCAAAATAAAACATGTTCTATTTTATTATTATTGTTTTTAATTGTTTCTTAAACTTTTGGTTAACATGTAATAATTGCATGCATTAATGAGGTATAGTGTTATATTTTAATGTATGCATATTGCAGGCACTGATCAAATCACAGTAATTAGACTTTTCCCCCCATTATTGCTTTATGTTTGGAAACTTCAAGACCATCTCTTGTAGATCTTCATAAAATATATGAGGTTATTGTGAATTATAGTTATTCTAATATGCTATTGCTATTATTGTTTACATAGTGTTTGTATATAAAATTGACCCTTAAGTAATATAAGTTTGAATTGTTCAGGTCCCCTTATATGTGGATTTTTGTCTGTTTTTGGTGATTTGTGACAATTTGAAAAAACTCACAAACTGTGTAGCCTTCAAATATCCAAAAATTAAGAAAAAAGTATGTCACAAACATATAAAATATGCATAGATCATAGTTTATTTTATTATTTACCATCACAAAATATATACAAATCTGTCACAATAGTTTAAAATTTATTAAAACTTATACATACAAACCTTCACAAAACTGTACATGGTGCCATTCATAGTGCAGGGAAATGTAAAAAATTATAAAGATGCAGTATTAGATCATAACTGCATAAAATTAACTATAGTACCTCCTGTACTTATTTCATAGCTACATCTTGTTGCTATTGCAATGAGTTTGTGTTGTATCTGCTTAACTGCCTTGTGGTGCTAATTATCTCCATGTGAGCAGCCTGTCTCTCCAGGAAATTTTGTGTCACAGTAAAAAAGCAGTCTTTGCTATTTCTGTGTATTTTCACCATATATAACACATTTAAC